TACTACATGGTACCAAATGTTCCTTCTAGTTCTAACATTTAACAATATATGTAAATGTTGTGGAACTATTAATGAGAGATTACTTCATATAAATAGGTGACAGTTAAATGTGTAAATGAGGCAACAGTATTTTGTCATACATTCTCTTTCACTTTATTTTATTAATAGACTTTATTTTTTAGTATAGTTTTAGATTCCCAGATAAACTGAGCAGAAAACTCTCATGTGCTTTTTCCTCTCATACACATGCAGCCTCCCCCACTGCTAAGATCTCATACTGAAGTGGTACATTTGTCACTACTGATGAACCTAAATTGGTATATCCATAGTTTATATCAGAACCTATAGTTCAGATTAGGGATTACTCCTGGTGTTGTATATTCCATGGGTTTTAACAGAAGTTAAAAGGAAAAGTTCTTTCAATGTTTTGCCTTAATGGCCAGATCACTATGTGACGGTGTAAAAAAGCATGAAAACATTCCCCATAGTGAATGCCAAGCAATGGCATCTAAATAATAATTTTTGATGCTCTCTTAAAAAAACAGAACTAACAAACAAAAACCCTACAGATCATCCACACATGCATTACCTCAGAAACTATTCCTTGTTTATCTTTTTTCTCTATAGAAATTTAGCTATGATGGGACGCCTGGGTGGCTCAGTTGGCTAAGCGGCTGCCTTCGGCTCAGGTCATGATCCCAGAGTCCTGGGATCGAGTCCCACATCGGGCTCCTTGCTCAGCAGGGAGCCTGCTTCTCGCTCTGCCTCTGCCTGCCACTCTATCTGCCTGTGCTCACTCTCACGCGCTCTCTCTCTCTCTCTCTCTGACAAAAAAAATAAATAAAATCTTTAAAAAAAAAAAAGAAAAAGAAATTTAGCTATGATATTCTACACCTAGTAGATAGCAATTAACTTTTGTTAATATTGAGTTGGATGATTCAAATTTGAACAAAAGAGATAAAAGATGAAAACAGGAATATACGCTTGAAATTTTCAGATAAATAATCATTCTTTGAAAGATCTTGTATGTGCCACTCCACACTGTAAAGTCTCTTTACGCTAAATGTGACAACTTTCAAAAAAATAATAATAATAATAACTATTCTCTGAATAGAATGTCCTCTCTCTTCAAGCAATATCTTATTATGTGATTATTATAAAAATGCATAAATACCCTCAAGGGGGGGAGGGGAAGACTGGATAGAGCATTACTTACTGAAGATCACATTACTAACTGGAGCAATAGGCCTTTTTTGGAGGAATTTCTCTTAAAACATATTCTTCAAAGCATCAAATTCAATATTCATTCATCAGGAGGAATATGACCCAGTGGGCAAGGATTTTCAAAGCTTTTTTTTTTTTTTTTTTTTCCCAGTGGAAGGGACTTTTCCAGTGAAGTGATAAAAATGCTTTGAACATTTTAAACCTAGCTACAGGGTCTTCTTTCTCCTGTGGATACTATCCAGAATTGCCTCATCTGGTGAAAGAAATCCTTTCACTGCAGAAAACTTTAATTCATTAGGACCAAACGCCAGCAGGACTGAAATCTGTTAATCCTCATGAAATGCACAGATTTGAACAATGTATTCATCCCTGTAAAACTGTGGTAATAAAATCCTATGACATAAATTATAATGGTTATACTCAAGAAATGATTCTCCTTCACACCATCTCCTAATTGTAATGAGAAGGTTTTGTTTGGTTTGTTGTTGTTTAGAATAAGGATCTACTGTGCCCTTCCATTCTGTCATCTTTATCTTTGATAGATTCCTAAAGTAGGGATTATGTCACAGAAGTGAATGCCCATTAATGAAAGAAGAAATACAATATCTGCAAAGAGAACTAATAGTGAAAGAACTTATGATCAGGTAAAACATAACGGCCATGGTGAAAAAGGAAAAAAAAAAAAAAGTTGATGCACCAAAAACTGGTTTCTCTCCTTTGTTCAGGAGCAATCTAGACATTTGCCTTCCTTCCTCCATGAAGGGACTTCACTCAACAAAGCCAGAAAACTTATATATTGTATCTAATGGTGTCATAAATCAAGTGGCTGCCACCTTTTCTGATCCTAATACATTTTCATAAAACACAATTAGTAAAGGACCAGATTATGAAATAGACCGAAGCACAAAAGGTACGCACAGAAGTGGTTGGAGGCTCTTATTACTACCACTGCCATCATCATCACTAGTGTTTTACTTGGTTCCTTATCTATGTACTGTCTGCTGGCCCCTAGGTTTACATTTAATGACTTCAAATAGCTGGTGATATTTTTTAATATTTAAATATCTGCTCGGGGTGCCTGGGTGGCTCAGTGGGTTAAGACTCTGCCTTCGGCTCAGGTCATGATCTCGGGTGCTGGGATCGAGCTGGGCATCAGGCTCTCTGCTCAGCAGGGAGCCTGCTTCCCCCTCTCTCTTTGCCTGCCTGCCTCTCTGCCTACTTGTGATCTCTCTCTTGATCTGTAAAAAATAAAAACAAACAAACACACAAATCTACTCTCCCTACTGTTCATTATCACCATAATTAAATCCATCTTTACTAGGGAATTTTACTAACCTACTCTCTCTGTACCGAAGAAATTAAGAAACAACCGTTCTATGCAGATCACTGAACAGAAAGTATAATATAGTCAAAAGAACACAAAAGGAAATCTTCTCTAATTAGAAGCTGAAATACAGTTTCCAGGGTATGTGTGTAAACACATATATATTACATACACACATATATCACATATGTGTATTTTTACAATTTATTACTTTCTATTATTAGGTATCACTACTATTTTCACAGCTCCCATATATACCAGGCACTGGGCCAAGCATTTGCATACATTAATCTTAATATTCCCATGCCCCATAAAGTGAGGCAGCTGAGCCTCAGAAATATCAAGTAACTTACATCACGGGGTAGTAAGAGGGTGAACTGGCACCAGAATCCGAGTTGTTGCAAAAGTCTTGCCTCTTCCTACTATATGTTTTCCTGGCCCCAGGTCTCCAACCCTCTGATTCAAAGTAAGTTTTGCATTGCTGTTTTCTGATTAACAATAGGGATTTAGATACATTCTTGAACATTCTAATTTTATATGACTATTCTATATGCCTACATCCTTATACATTAAGAAGAAATAGATTTTGTAAAAACAATTTCTTCCTAGGAATTGAATTTAAAAATATGGCAGATATGATATAAAGAACACAAAGTTTTGACTAACAACCAAGAATTTCTCTGGGGGAAAAACTACGTTGATGCAAAATAAGTTTATTATGATATTATTATTGGGAATCTAGAAATAGGGAGAGTACTATTCTCTGCAAATAAAAATATCCTCTGTCGTGGTACATTCTACAAAACTTAACCATTTTGCGGCCACTATAAAGCCTCAGAGAATGAATGCAATTTATGCAAATAATCAGTTTACCCATAAGAAAAAAGAGAGGTACTAATGATCTAACCAGGACATTTACAACACCAAATGTTTTAATATCATACCTCACAGAAATTTTCAAATACTTCCAAAAATCATTATGAAGTCTTTAAAAGAATCAAATACGTGATAACAGCTGAAACAAGGGATTATGTGTACTTACAAAAAAGATATGCATATATACATGACATCTTTTCAAGAAGTTCAAGTTTTCTTAGTTTTGCACTGACTAAATCCTATATGATGAAATTCTAAAGAATAAGATGCATGTAATTAAAAGGGAGGGTAGATTATGCATGGTAGGATAGTGAGCCTTCCGTGTATAATGAGGTTTGATCAAACAGCCTTGCTTGATCAAAAATCACATTGTGATTTTCGCAAAATTTACGTTTGCTCAACAAAATATACTATATTTGTCTGAATTTCCTTTTAAGAAAGGTCCTTTTTAAAATGTAGGAAGTTTGGCCTGTATATGATTCCAAACATTTGATACAAAATTTACTTAAGAAAAGTCATCTTTGAAATATTTCTGAAGATCCCCAGTAATTCATTACATTGTAGCCAGGAATTTCATTAACACATGATTAAACAAAATGTGTTATAGCTGAGGGGAAAAAAAAAAAGCTTACAACCAGAATTCCACATACTGATGCGTAAAGATTTTTTTAAGATTATAAATCAAAGAACTACCTGCTTTTTAACATTAGATAAAATTAAGTCTCCACAAGTACTGAAAAAATACTGCAAACATACATGTACATCTTCAGCATGAAAACCTTAATATAGGAAGCATATGATTTAGCTCGAGGAGAGGTAGAGAAATTTGCTTTTATAAGTTTAGACACACAAATGTAGAATTATAGATCTAAGTATAAATCCAAGAAGCATATCTAATGTTTATACTATGTCTGAACTTAACAATTAGTACACACACACACACACACACACAAAACACATTTTCTTCGATAAATTGGGCAGTGTCTACCATCAATTTCCAATCAGACATTTATATTAGCTACAGGAAAATGTTAGTGTCTGATCTTTTTTTCAACATTTGCTAAAACAAGATGATAAGATAAAATCTGACTCCAAAATAATACATACCATTTTCAAAAGTAATTTAAATGGCACAGCATTTATAATTGTTCACTTATTTGGAATTCATTTGCTACTATCTATATTAGAATAGATAATCATTCCGACAATGTTTTAAATTATATTATGTTATATGTATATAGTCAATCAAAATGTTTTGTATATCTTTATATCCGTAATTGAATAAAAGTAAAAGTGTCATTTAAAAAATTACAAATAAAAATGAAGAAACCAAATGCCAATCATGGCATTTTAATGTCCTTGCAATTCAAATGCTATACTTTAGGAAATTTTTACTTGATTTTTTCAGGAAAACATACTTAGAACAATTTGTATTAGGCTTAAATATTCATTACTAATTTGCTTTCTTATTCCACATCTTGACTATCAGAGTACAGAGGGAAAGGATATACTGCCATCAGGCATAATAAATCAAGTGAAAACATCATACATTAGTCATGAATAAAAAACTATTTACCTGCATGGAAATCTATCCCAACAGCAAATGAAGTTCCTGATATAGGCATCAAAGCATCCATTTTGTCACTTGGTTCCAGAGGTATTCCCCTGATTCCTTCATGAACAGAGTACATAAGAAATGACTCTATACCTAATTGGAAAGAAAGAAAGAAAGAAAGAAAGAAAGAAAGAAAGAAAGAAAGAAAGAAAGAAGGAAGAAAAAAAAAAAAGCCCCAAGAGAATATTTAAAATTAAAATCATTCTATTAACATTATTTCAAAGTCTTAATTTTTTCATAAAACATGTTCCTTAGCCTTTTTTAAATTTTTAACTGAATACTACACTTCTGACTAGTGGAAAGGTAGATAGATTAGTGGCTCTCAAACTTGAGTATGCATCAGAATGTTCTAGAGGACTTGTTAAAACACAGATTACAGAGGTCCCCAACCCAGGGGCCTGATAATTTGAATTTTTGAAAAGTTTCCAAGTACTGATGGCACTACTGGTCTGGGAACCATACTTTCATAAACACAGAGGCAGATAATTTTGGAAAACATACCTGGCCTCACAACCCAAAATTCACCCCCTCTTTTCTAATATCCAATTATCTTATTGCTTATATATGATAAACTTTGAGTGTATATATGATTTTACATAGCTACAGAGTTGTTAGTTTTATAATAAAGTTAATCTTCTTAAATCATTTTGAACACTAAAAACATACCAAGTACTTAATGTTTGCTAATACCTTGTTGTTATAGCTTCAAAAGTATGTTCTAAAATATGCACAGACATAAAAGCTGATTACCAGAAGTCTGCATGCTGATACTTATGAATTTTTCTAATACGCCAGAACATGTTTTTAGGCACATATTTTCTTATTCTTCTTCTTCTTCTTTTTCTTTTTTAAGATTTATTTACTTGGGAGAGAAAGAGTGGGCACGCACGTGTGGGGGTGGGAACAGAGGGCATGGAGCTGGATGCTAGCTAGATTCCATGGCCTTGAGATCACGACCTGAGCCAAAACCAAGAGTGAGAGGCTTAACTGACTGTACCACCCAGGCACCCCAGGTTGAAACATGTTTTTTAGTAAAATTAAGTCATGATCATTGGATAAAAAGATCATTCTAGAATCAAATTTCTTTGGAACTAAGCACTAGAATCTATGAAACGTGAAATAGGAAGATGGGTGTTTTAGGTTTTAGTTCTTTGGCAATGATCTTCTCTCTCAGCTAACCAAATCTAAGCCCTCACCACTTCTCTTGTATTTTTTTTCAAACAGTTAAAAGAATAACTGAATTCAGATTGAATCGTAATAGTAACCAGTCACTGCTTTTTACTTCAGCCCTTGCTTATTCAAGTTGAAAGTAGTTTCTACTGGGCTTGCTTCAAAGTTTGATAATAAACTGCGGTTCCGGAAAATAACTAATTATGACCTTTAAAGAGCAGTAATACTTAAAACTTTTTAGATGGTAACAATCTTACATATATGAGACTAAGCAGTGAACCATTGTTCTAATAAGACACTAATATTATTTTTTCTATTTTTAAACTAATTTTTGTTGCCTAAAATTTGCATTGATAAAGTAAATGCATCAGAATTAAATTTTCCAAGACCTTATACCTTGACATGACATGCGGTTCTTTTGGAGATAATATCCCACTGTACACATGCAAGTCCTTGTGGTTTCAGATGTTGGTAAACAAAGTTGAGAGCATCCGCCATTATTTAGTTGGCAGGAATTGCTGCCTGCATAGGAGGAAAACAAGCAAAAGAAATACTTAAGAAAAATAAAAAGAGTATCATTTGATAGCAATAATTTGAACAAATATTTATACTTTTGTTGATTTATAAATGCAGCTGCTTCATAGAGGTTAGTATGATGTTTTACTGTTTTGAATAATTTGAAATGGCATATTGCAGTTGAAGTCTGCCCACCCAAAAAAAGTAAATGGAGGTCTGATGTGTGGCATAGTGATTATCCACAGCAATACTATAATTAATTTATAGTATCAATTAAACTTTGATTACAATTCAAAGTTGCTAAGAGACTAGATCTTAATTATTCCCACCACAAAAAAAAAAAAAAAGATAATATATGATGTGATAGAGGGGTTAGCTAATGCTAAGGTGGTAATCATCTTGTAATATATAAATGCATCAAATCAGCCCTTTATATCCCTTAAACTTGTGCAATTTTATATGTCAATTAGATCTCAAAAAATAAATTTTAAAATAAATAATTAGAAACAGTTTTTTAAAAAGCAAATGACAATGCATGAGAAGATTCAGGGCTACAGAAAAGCAAGTGAAATTGGTTTGTCATGAATGCTGTCAGACTTGCAATATTTTAAGATCACAGAAACTAGGAAATATTTTATTATGATTTTTATTATGATATCTCATTTCAACTCTATAGTTACTTCCTTTTCAAGAATATTTTATCTAAATGTGTCAAATCAATAGCTGTTAAATTATACCACTAACTCAATGTGAAGATTATGCCATTAAAAGAAAGGAGGTATATACATATTTAAATAATTTTTAAAGCAAGGAAATAAATTTTGCTATTCCTAGGAACATAATTCTCCCAAAATATATTTAAAACACACCCGTAAGAGTCATCTAATTAATTGGCATATTAATTCTCCTTATTCCTGAGTAGCAGCAATGACAAATATTAGTCAGGTAATCACAGGTAGGCATTCTATAAAGATGTTCCATTGAATTTACTAGGCCCAATGTGCTAATTAAAGCTGGTAGTGTGACGTTAAAAAATTTACAGTCTTATCCAGCAAGTTCATTAAATATCCCATTTTTACAACATTTTTATTATTCGAGGACATGCAGTACCGTTTACTGGATGTTCAAGCTCTAATATGAAGTGCAATAAATCCAGTGAGAATTACAAAGTGTGATGAAAGCTATATATCAATAGTGCTCTATGGAAAATTCAAAATACCAATGCAGCTCATTATTTCTCATCTCCTGAATTCAAAATAGTCTGATGGGATTTAATTGTTCAATTGAAGCTGTAGTGAGTTCTGTCACTTTTGAAGTGTGAAATACTCCCAACTTGGGAGATTTCTCATCTGGAGATTTACCAAACTCTGCTCATTTCCTATAGTTACCATTTCAGTCAATGCTGGACTCTGTCCTATACAAGGCCACATGCTAGGCCTAGGGTTGCCCTGTGAAATCACTACTTTTATCTCCTATATAAACTAATGAAGATGAATTGACTTATTCCCTCAGCTCCTCAAGCTGACTTATATACTAAGATAAAATTTCAGATCTCTGATTATTTTAATGAAAGAGTTATATTTTCAGATTTATAATAATCTATACTGACCTTATACATATTATAGTTTATAGAAAACACATAAACATATATTAATGCAATGCCAAGCTATGGAAATTTGCATTTTGATATTGATTTATTTCAACTACTATAAAGACTGAAAAGCTGAGAAGAGATTGAGAAGAAATGTTTTAACTAGAGAGCATGAAGAAACATCAAATGGAAAGAAGGGGAAATGAGGAAATTGAAGTTAATAAAAAAATAGATTAGGAAGACAATGAAATCACAAAAGAAAAATAGGGTTCTATAACCTTGGTGATATTAAATATATGTTAAAAACATAAGAAAAGGAACTTCTGGAACTGCATTTTTAAATATAATTGCAGTAATAGCAGTATATTGTACCATACTTATTTTTGACAAATAATATAATTAGCCTATGTTAACAATTATGTTGTACAATATACATTTCATGTATCACTTGTTTAGTCTCTACTAGTGAAGAGGAGAAAAAGGGAAAAAAAAAGATGAAATGAGTCACTATTTGCAATAAGTATCTTTGCCTAACCAACAATGAATTGATGTAGGAAAAAATATTAGAGTGGTTTTAAAGACAGTAATTTAGGTAGTGATTATCTGGCACATTTGAAATACCAGCTTGGCTTAATATTTTGCAATGAGACTGATGTTCAAACTTCATGCCCCAATTCCCCAGTGGAGGTAGAGAGTCCACTTGACTAACGAGAAGTCTCAGCTCTTTAGTGATCTACGTCAAAAGTGATAAATGAAGTAGCTAATTGTACTTTGAAATCCAAAGAGGTAGTAATGTTAACACCTTAAATAATTCTAAATTGCTCATATTTCATACTAATGAAGCTTTTAAGGTACCTGCCATGATTCTGTTAATGTGATTCTCTCTAATACAGATGCTTTCATCAGCACATTCTTTTAGTAAAAATAGTATTTGCACTGAATTTTAAGCTTAGTTATATTATACCATTAATTCCCAAGTATTACAGGTCCTTGTCAAGTTAGGAATACTTTCACAACATGTAAAATACCCAAATCTACCTGTAGGATTAAACATTTACAAGATGAGGAAAATTTTGTTAGCATGAGTAAAAAAGTGATCCAAATATAATACAAAAAAGTTTTCCTCCAATAAACTTTTTGGTGTTGTATCTGGGAAAACTCTATAAATTATATTAATTTACAATTTCAAGCAAACCATGTGCTTTTTCATATTTTGAAAAAGAAGGAATAAATGTTTGCATGTCTTGTTTGGAAGCAATACATCTCTCCCTCTGTTGTATTTTCTAATATGTTTTCAGATATAATCACATTAAGTACAGACTATGAACTAAAGTTTACCACAGTACTATAAGCTTTTATACTTTGCAAATATATTCTATTAAAATCCACAAAAAAATGTCATGGTGTTTTATTTATTGAGTACCAATGTTTTATTCTCAATGATATAATCTATTCCCCATGGCTTGAATGCCAGAAAAATTATTTTGATTACAGATTTGCTAGTCAAAATGCTCCTGTTCATTATTATAGATAGTTTTTTTTTTTTTTTTTAAATGTCAGAGGAGCACCTAGTTGGCTCACAGTCTGTTAAGCCCCAGACTCTGGATTTTGGGTCAGGTAATGATCTCAGGGTTGTGAGATCTGGTTTCGTGTTGGGCTCCCCACTAGGGGTGGAGCTGCCGTGAGATCCTCTCTCTCTCCCTCTTTCTGTCCCCCATCTCCTTCTCTAAAAAATAAATAAGTAAGACTTTAAAAATTAATTTTTTTTAAATCAGAGAGAAAATACAGATTTGTGCATAAAGTACGGGTATTAGTGTCTTCTAAACCATGAAAGGAGCCCAGTAATCACTTAATTATTTGTTTGTTTGTTTGTTTGTTAAAGCAATTATTTTCTTTCTTTCTTTTTTTTTTCCATGAAATTTCAGGAATGATTTCATACTAGAATTTGGCCCATGCTCTGTCCAGGGAAGGCAACCATGAATCTGGTCTTCCTTTTATGTCTGGATGTGCAGGTATGGCTCCCAATTGGTATTGCCAATAAATTCTGTCAATTGATGCTGTTACCTATGTTCAGAATTAGTGATCCTCTTGGTTCACTAATTCTGTCTCTACTGTTCTCTGCTTTGGTCTATATGCCCAAATCCTTCAGATGAAAATTCCTTTACATTTTCTTGAAATGTTTTTCCTAAGAAGAAAAGTATGTGAAGCTAAGGATTTTCATAGCAGAGACTAAAGTAAGAAAGCAAAATACAGAAAAATATTTTTTCTAGGAAAAGAGTTCTGCTAATGTCATGGGTCATGAAGCAAGAACTAAGAAAGGACTAGCAGGTGTGGGGCTGTCCTGGCTGGCATCTCTAAAGTAATTGCCATTTGGGCAATGTGACAAGTCCACCTATGTAAACCATCTGTTCGTTCTCTCACTCCATTTCACTGCACACCATTTGGACAAGCAAAAACAAAAAAGCAAAATGCTTAGAGCCAAACAATGCAGTGCTTTTGGATGCAAAATTCTTACGTTGACATAGTCCATTTGAAATCCCCTCATTCCTTCAGTTTCGGGGCTTAATTATACACTGTCTGTATCTGGCTGGGATTTATTTTTCTCATTCTTACATTTTTAAATCAAGAACTAGATAAGACCTCTTTGAAGACCTGACAAATTAAGATCCCTTGGGAGCCCTTGCTAACATTTTGAAAACTCATTATATACCTTATGTTAAGGGCATTTCTTCTGTAGTAATAAGGAGCATTTGCTCCTTATTTATTTATTTATTTTTTTAACTAGAAGCAAAATACAAACCTTTCACTTGTTGAATTGAGAAAATAATATGAAAAGAAGAGAACATTATATATTCAAAAAGTGGCACAAATTCATTACAGTGTGACTTGCCTTGCTGTGCTTCTTTATCATACACTTTCATATGAACAACCCCAGAAGTCTTATTTCGCAGGACAGTGGGGTTTCTTCCATCTCTTTTGCTGCAGGTTCCCAGCTGAGCTAAGTTTTGGTCTGCCCACCACAGTTTCATATCTATAAAAGTGAAAAGATTTCTTCTATGAAAAAGATATTCATCTTATTAAATAATAGTAAACAGCTATTAAAGTATAATACTTTTTGATTTCTTTTGTTATATTCCCAAAATCTGTTTCTAAGGGAAGCAATGAAATCACTCTCACTCTTTAAAAAATATAGACCACAGTGATATATTATTGTTTAAATTTTCCTCCCTCCTCCCCAATTAGAGGCTCTTGCCCTAACTTTTCTTTTTCTTAAAAGAAAATTTCACACACCATATAAATAAAAGCATATTCAAATTAATATAGAATTCAGATTATATTATTTACATACTTAAACATGATCACAGTAGTACTGTATTATATCTGTAAATGAACAGCAAAATCCAACCAAATATCCAAACAAAACTTATAAAAAAAAAGACTATACTCTTCGTTTGCAATATGGAAACTTTTAATAATTAGTACTCCCTGCTATTGAATTCCTCATAGTAACATCTTTTATTTTTCTGCACTGCTCATGCCCCTTTCTTCAAAATTTTAATAATGTAAACTGCTCGGTGTATGTGTTGAGTGCATGTATTGAATATTTTTTGTGGGGTGCATGTATTTTTTTGGATATCTCTCTTAGAAGAGACCCTGCAATATGCCACAGATTAAAAAAAAAAAGAGAGTCTTGACTTTAAGGAAGCTAGCATGCTGGTGAAAATGATACATTTGTCTACGGCCATACCACCCTGAATGCACCCGATCTCATCTGAAAATGATACATTTATTATTATTTTATTTCAAATTATTATACCAAAACTAGAAGGAGTCTATTACCATTCTCATTTTATAGATGAAACATCTAAGATTCATAGAGATTAACTATCTTAATCAAATTTATATATTTGGTCTTCCTATCTCCAAAATTTGGTTCTTTCTAAGACTCCATGCAGAATGCATAAAAATTTTAAGAAAGGCAATAATTCAAAATAAAGTTCATAATTATAAAGGTTTTAAACAATTTAGACTTTTCTTGAAAAAGCTAATTAATCACAATTGGGACCACCTCAATTTCTACCTAGAAGTTAAAGGTTATTTAATTGTATGAACAAAACAACATAATCTTTACTTTCACCGTACATTTATTCTTATTCAAATTCTACTATATTCAGACTGAACCAAAGCCTAGTTTCAGATATTGCAAGGAGAGTAATACAGACATCAACAATGATAATCCCTTACCGAATTTGATTTTGTGCAATGCACAATTCTAAACACTACAGATTACTTCATTTAATCTTCACAACAATTTTATTAGGTAAGTACTACTATTATTAAACCATTTTGCTGAAGAACACTGAGACAAAATGAGGTTAAATAGTTTTCCCTAGGTCATACAATAAATAGGAGCCCCAAATTATAGAACAAACCCCAGTTTTAGAGCCCATGGTGTTAAATTAACTCTAATGTCCTCTTTCATTGATAGATGTTTAGTCTTCTCTCTCTTACATGGATATAATATATATATATATATATATATATATATATATATAAAATAAAATATATATAAATAAAAAAAAAAAAAAATATATATTTTTTTTACTTGTGTAAAGTCTTTGCTATCCCCCAGTTAATTCCTGATATTAGTAATTTTTGTCTTCTTTCTCTCTTTCCTTTGGTCAGTCTCAATTTTAATTCCTTATGTATGTATGCATATATGTATTATAGTAATAACACAACATAAGATGTGGACTTTTTTCAAGTAAGTGCACGATGCAGCATTAACTATAGGCACAATGTCTTGTAGCAGATCTTTAGAACTTATCTTGCATAATCATTGAACATCAACTTCCCATTCTCTTCTCCCCCATCACCTGCTATCATTATTCTATTCTTTATTTCTATGAGTTTGACTACTTTAGCTCTCTCATATAAAAGGAATCATGAAATATTTGTTCTTCTGTAACTGGCTTATTTCATTTAGCATGATGTCCTTCAGGTTCATCCAAGTTGTTGCATATGGCAGGACTTCTGTTTGTTTTAAGGCTGAAAAAAATATGTATTTTTT